CTCAGAGCAGTTCACAGCTATGAAAGACCTCTCCTTCCACAAGCGCCGCTCTCCTGGGGCAAGTGAAAAAAACACTTTCCCAATTCTTCCTTCCTCACTGCCTCCTACACTTCCAGGCTTTTGGGGAGGGGGGAGAAGCATGTGGGTGGTATTTTACAGGCTAATGATGATGACTCGAGCATACTTGGCAAGTCACAATTGAAGCTAGTAGTTTAAAAGTGACCCCGCAGAAGATTTCTTTCTGATTGATTTATTAACAATCCTTTTTTTCTAGAGTCTGGGGATATGCAAAGTCAGAAGGAAAAAAAACCAGTTACCATTCAAAAGAAGATGTTGCAGACAGACTGGTGAGGCCCTGTTTAGGCCACAGAATAAGTGCACTGTGCAATGTCAAGCGTTTCGTGACTTTTTTGTACCTCAAGAACATTTTGGCAGCTTATCATGTGGCTTAGTACACCCAGGATATGCAAATCAAAAATGTTTCTCCACAAATGAGGGTACTTCAAAAAGTTCATAGAAAGAGTCATATTATCTTTTAATTCTATTTTTCTGCGAGCTTTTTGAAGTACCCTCATTGTGTGAGTTGCATGGCATGATTTCCTAATACTAAGTGGAAGCTGATTAATGAATTCACCCAAACTACTGCTATGACTATAATTGGTTAAAGGTGATGGTGACCTCCCCACCTTTTTCCTTTGCATTGTTTGGTGAGTTAGTTATATCCTATGGTCACTACTGTCTAACTCCTCTCAGCCCAGGCATATGGCCCCTAATTGCTCCTAGTAGGGCCTAAATAAACATCCCTAACATAACAGGGGGCAGGTAAGCATGCTAGCTTTTCCCCAAACAGTGGATGGCAGCTGTAGGACATCTTTGATTCACCTGTATTGTCTTCTCACATTCTTGTTGGAATCTTTAAAAGGCACCTCTCCCCCAGCTGAGACTGCAAGAGTCCCCAGCCAACTAATTCAGAGCATTCCTTGCCACAGGTCCAGCAGCGTGAGAACTTACTCAAATCCAGTTGCTTGGAAACCACCATGTCTGGCTTGTCCTCCTTCCCATTCCACAGTCCACCCCCTTCCACAGCAGGCACCCAGACATTCTTAAAGTTCATCGCTCTCCACTACACTCCGAGAAGAGCATGAATACACCATTGTGCTCTCCATGGAGGAAAAGGCAGAAAAAATGTCGAGTCCTTTACTGGTGAGAGATCCGTAGCGACTGCCACTGGGCCGGATGGACATGGGTGGTGGGATCTGGTGGTGCCACTGAGCTGGAAAATGGACCCAAAACATGTTACGATCACAGGAATATAGTCTGGTGGGTTTACTGCAGAGGGGCGTCCAGCCCTCACCCCAGCACTCCCTGTGGATTCTTTTTTTTTTTTTTGGAAGCTCACCGGTCTGGGGATCTGAACCCTTGACCTTAGTGTTACAACACCACCCTCTAACCAAATGAGCTAACCGGCCAGCCCTCCCTGTGGATCCGTGGTAAATTATTTAGATATATCTGGGTCTGAAATGCCTCATTTTTAAAAGAGAGCAATAAAACCTTCCCTGCCAGGAATAGGGAAACAGGGCTGGTGATCTCTTAATCCCCGAATTCCAAAACCTGGGATTTTTTTTTTCTGGCTAATTTTGTTTTTTATTTTTATTTATTTATTTATAAAGATGACTGGTAAAGGGATCTTAACCCTTGACTTGGTGTTGTCAGCACCACGCTCTCCCAAGTGAGCCACGGGCCAGCCCCGCTAATTTTGTTTTTTAAAGGGAAACATCTGAGCTGTACATACCATAAATAGCTTAAAGCTTCTGTACCAACCCCCCACAACCAAATAGCTAAACAAAACCTGAAGCGACATTTTCAATGTGAAAAATCTTAGAAAATTAACTTACAAAAACATCCCTACCAAATCTGAAGTTTAGTATTTACTGTACGTTAGTCAAAAGCTCAAGCTAAAATCTGATTTTTTTAAAAAAAGTTTACATTATGATACAGATTCAGAATTGTTAAAAAATATGAGCAAATAGCCACATCCATGCAATATAATTTCTTTAAAAATTTAAAGCAATGTAAAAGAGTAGACCTATGGTGCAAAATTGCTAGGTGATTGGAGTAAAATTGATTCTAAACATTTTAAATATGATTGTTTCAATCAATCAACTAAGAGTGCACATGAATTTCTGAACCATTTCTAAGGCAAATCTGCTTGCTTGTGTCTATAATACATATTATATGATGATGAACAGTGTTCATTGACCATATTATCTACATTATAATAATGACCTTTAACCAATAAATCAAAAGTCACCAAGTGCTTGGCTCCTCAGGAAACTGCTATTTCCAGAGATCCCCAAACCCATCAGCCAGCTTTGCCAAAACGCCAGGGGCAATAACTGCACAGGTTCCCTGCCCCTGGGGAAGAACTTCATTCGAAAGGTGCCCTGGACCCCAGAGAGCCCACTCTGGACAAACCCAGGGAGGTAAACAGGCTGGTGGTGTGGCCGGGGCAACGACTGCACAGGTTCCCTGCCCCTGGGGAAGAACTTCATTCGAAAGGTGTCCTGGACCCCAGAGAGCCCACTCTGGACAAACCCAGGGAGGTAAACAGGCTGGTGGTGTGGCACTGTGGGCCACCGAACCCTCTGTGTGTGGGGTGGCTCGTTGGTGTTCCTCTGCATGGGCTGGAAGGACTGGGCAAAACTGTAAAACCTGTGATTCCCGTCCAGTAAGAGATAAGAATTCTATAAGTAAGAGATTTCAATTCCTATAGAAGGAAGAGAGAATGACTAGAGTGATTTCTCAAAATTAACACTTGTCACTCAGCATGGGGTCTGCTAGGGACAGTGGACAGAGGTTGTAGGCTCTCAAGGGAGGGCACCTCGGGTGGTAAGAGACAAGAAACCTGAAAAAATGGAAGCCAAAAGATGAGTTCAGCCCCCTGAGAAGTAACTACTCCCTACCCTAATTACTCTAATTAGCCATTACCTACCTACCCACAACCCTAATCAGGTTCTAATGAGTTACAGCAAGAAGACTGAAAAGTCATTTAGGTGCAATCAACATGGCTCAGGGACAAAAGAGAATTCATTAGAGGTTCCATGTTCACCAAGCACTGTCCAGAGGACATTCTGTTTTTAGCAGGCACTATCCCTAGGCTTGAAGACGGCCTGAATGGAATATCCATCCAAACTGCACAATCCCTCCTGTTGTCTCCGATTAGAAATTACCAAGCAATCTTCTGATTAGGTTTCTGGGGACCTTGAGGCAGAGATGAGGGTGCCCTAGGGGGAACACCGGTGCTCTGGATCCTAGAAAGCTGTGCCCCTATCTAGCATTCTGATTTATAAATGGGTCCTTTGTTGATTTCATTATTTTGAATCAAATTTTTAGAGTCTAAATACCTCTGAATGAGTTGAGAAAATCAAGTTTCGTAAGCTACAAAACCTATAGCGATTTCACTAAAGATCTCAGTAAGACTGGCCCTGAACAGTCTCTCCCTCCAGACCCTCCACCTTGTAGCCTTTCCCTGCTCTCTGTGACATCTTAACTGGACTGCTGGCGTTCCTAGTCTTAGAAGCCTTCCTTTGGAAGAGAGAGTGGAGCTTACTGACCTCATTCCTCAGCCAGGGACGAAGTGTGGTGGTGGCGATGGGGGAGGGAGAGGGAGTGATTCTAGCCTAGGGCCTCCACCCCCTCCCCTAGCCCAGACCACAGCTGAGGAAACAGCGCCTACTATTGTTGGTGCTGTGGAATCAGGACAGGGATGAGGGAGAGGTGGGCCAGGATAAAATGACCTGGGGACTCAGCAACTGGAGGACAGGATGGGGATAAGAGTCATCAGCTTCAGGGCTTATTGGTCCTGAGCTTCTTGGTAGGAGACCTACTGCCTTCTGACATGGTGAAGAGGTGGAAATGTTTAAGGACTTAGCCTAGATGAATAAACATATCACTGACCCCCCCCCTCGACTTTTCCAGAGAAAATAAAGTAGTATCAGCTTCTCTCACAGTTGAATTTCTTTTCACCAAGGACAAGGTAAAAATAATCTGAAAGCCATATATTTCCTCCAAAATTTAGACCTAGGGAAAATGGAAGGCCAAGGCTCTTCCTGCACTAAATAAAGGGGATACCTGGTTTGCACCTATAAATAGTAGGGACCTCAGGTTCTAGACAGAGGTACTCTTATTTGTTATTCTGGTTAATCTTGTTAAACCAGTTATAAATATGAAATGTATTTTTAAAAAATTTAAATTTATTTTTAATTGACACATATTGATTGTACATATTTATGGGGTACAGAGATTGTATACAAGATATATCAATACCTGTATACAATGTGTGGTGATCAGATCAGGATAATTAGCATATTCATCACAAAATTTTATTATTTCTTTGTGATGAGAATATTTGATCTCCTTTCTTCCACACATTTGTAACAGCAATTCTACTCTCTACTTTTAAAAGTGAATATAGGGCCAGCCCCGTGGTGCACTCGGGAGAGTGCGGCGCTTGGGAGCGCAGCGGCGCCCCCCGTCGTGGGTTCGGATCCTATATAGGAATGGCCGGTGCACTCACCGGCTGAGCACGGTGCAGACAACACCAAGCCAAGGGTTGCAATCCCCTTACCGGTCACACAAAAAGACAAAAAAAAAAAAAAAAAGTGAATATAAAACTTATTGATCTAACCAATTATTAAAAAAAAGAAAGAGAAAAAAAATGCAGCACTCTTTTGGATCAAAGAGCATGTCTCTAAACATACCAGTTAATGTCCAAAAAGTGTTGCAGGGAAGAGAAACAGAGTACATTAACAAAGATTATATTCATAAAGATTAATTTCTTAGATCCTGTCAAAAATTAGAAACATGGCTCAAAGGAAAGAAACAAAGACCTGGATTTTCTCCCCAGCTGCAGTCACTAGCCTGAGTCTTGGTTTCTTTAGCATGTAAATGATGGTAATACCGGTCTGGGAGGATCCAAGAGTGCCACTTTGTTAATTGTAAGTCATTATATAAATGTCATTTGATATTATTATTATTATGACAGCTGTCTGTTATTAGGAAGTCTGATTGGGGGATTGGAGCAATTCACATTTGTTGAATGAATAAACAAATGAGTGGGGTCTGCAAAATTCTGCTGGGGGATCCCAGGCAGTGGGGAGTTCTGGTGGGTGCCCCATGGCAGCAAGGAAACAGCAAGAAGACACTGGATGATCAGGAAAAAATGCACATGTAGCTCTGAACAAGTTGTAATTCCTACCATTGGAAGCTCTCTTTGGAAGAAGGTTATGCTCATAGTAAAACGTAAAAGTGTACAAAAGCCCTAAGGTAACTAGGACAGATGACTTTAAAAATCCATCTCTTTTTTTTTGGTGGCTGGCTGGTATGGGGAACTGAACCCTTGATCTTGGTGTTATAAGGCTGCGTTCTAAAAACTCTTAAGCACTAGAATATAATATAACAATTCTTTTATGGAAGCATACTACACTTATTCTTAAAAAAGATTTTTCAGCTGCTGATCACACAGATGTTTAGCTAATTCCGTGAACTTACCGTATATATCCAGCCTAGCAGTGCACGACACGATGCCAGCTTCATTCTTGGCTGACAACGTGTACCACCCAGCATCTGATTTCTTGGCTGGCTGAATGAGGAGGCAGACATACCCTGTTGTGTCCTGGTGCATGCTGGAGCAAAGAAAGAATAGACTCATTATTTATCTGGGAGCAGAAATGTCCTTGTCGAGTTTAGGGCTCAGGGAAACTTAGAGCTTTTCCTCCCTAGAGGAAGAAAGGGGAGTTCAGGAAACATCAAGGCAAATTTGAAGGTGGAAAGAAGTCACAAAAGATCAGCAATAAACCCTGTAACGCTAGGAGGAGGGTGACAGCATGGCTGAGACCCACTCTTGCTCTTCTCACTGCTCCAGCTTCGCTGGGGTTGTTCTCCCCACCAGGAGCACCCCCCACTTTTCACAACCAAAGTCCAGAAAGATCTTTTTTCCAAACAAGGTTGGAAGTTTCCACAAGAAATTTGTTAGGAAGCTATGAGAAAGCAGATCAAAAAGAGAGCCCTGGGACAGATGAACTGACAACATGGAGACGGCACTTTCTAATGTAACCAGCCAGGCATGTGCAGCATTTAGCTTACAGTGGTTAAGGAGAAAATCAGCCTGCTCTTTCCTTCTGTTTTCTCTACCTCAGTCGTTCAAAGCCTTGGTTGCACACTGGAATCCCAGGCCACATCCCAGATAATTACGTCAGAATCTCGGGCTGGGACTCAAGCATCAGGATTTTTAGAAACTCCCCTGGTGATTCCAATATGTGGCCAAGGATGGAGAACCATGGGGCCTCGTTTTCCCTGCACCCCCTGTTGGCCAGGCCTCCTTACCATACATAGCTCCAAGCTCCCTTCTGAGACTGCCTTGCACACTGGAATCCCAGGCCACATCCCAGATAATTACGTCAGAATCTCGGGCTGCGACTCAAGCATCAGGATTTTTAGAAACTCCCCTGGTGATTCCAATATGTGGCCAAGGATGGAGAACCATGGGGCCTCGTTTTCCCCGCACCCCCTGTTGGCCAGGCCTCCTTACCATACATAGCTCCAAGCTCCCTTCTGAGACTGCCTCAACTCATCTTCAGGGCAGAGATAACAGCGATAACTTCCTGAGCACAAAGGATGAGCAAGGGTTTCCCTTTCATTGAAAGTTATCATGTGCCCAACAATTTTAAAGTAATAAGAAAAAATAAATGTGAATAAAATAAAGTAATAAAGTAATAAAATATCCAGTACAATCTCAGCACCCTAACACATTGTCTACCTTCACTTTCTGATTAATTAATTAATTAATTAATTCTTTGATACATTTCTTTAGCAAACCGTTACTGAATATTATGTTGGACACAATGCCTGGTGCTATTGCCTTGGGTGCTGAGATTGCAAAGATGAATATGACAAAAATTCCCTCTCTAGAACAGTCCCTAAATTTAGTGGGAGAGAAATACATAAAAAATAAATAGAAATCAAGACAAATAGAATGTAACAAATGCTAGACCAATGACAGAGGAAAGGTGCTTTGTGAACATAGAGGGACAGTTATTTTGGGAAGCCCCAGGCAGCAAGGAGGAGGCCTGAAGATGCTAGATGCTCAGGAGCACAAGCATATGTCAGGTTATACTCAGAAAAACATGACACTACAAAGACCTGAGATGATTAGGATGAGATGACTTTAAAAATCCATCTCTCAAGCACTAAAATATAATGCAACCAATTCATTTACAGGAAAGCTTCCCAGAAGATGTACTCAGGCTAGTTTTAAAGGTTGAATGGGAACTCACTTGGGAGGGTGGGGATGTGGCTGTTCCAGCCTGGAACAGCCTGTGCAAAGGCATGATGGTGTGGGAGAGAGCATGGCACGTTCATGATAGCTGGGCGGAGGGTGCACATGGGGGACTGGCAGCTGGGGGGACTGGCAAGAAGGCAGGAGAGAGGGCCACAAGTACCATGGTAAAGGAAATCACTGATATATTTTAAGCAGGAGATGATAAGATCAGTTTTCATCGTTGGAAGATCACTCTGACAGTGGTGAGAAGGTGAACTGAATGGGGCTTGAGCCTGGAGTCAGAGAGACACATGATGATGCCATTGCTGGAGTGGAGTGAGGTGAGGTGATAGCAGTGGAAATTCACGCATGTGCTCATAATTTGTCCATCCTACATAAAATGTTATTAGGGGAAAGGCTTGGTGCTGGGAATTGTGAAGAGTCAGGACATATGAAGACAAGGAAGACGTGGTCCCTGCCTTGAAGATGCTCACAGTCTAGCTGAAGAGAGAGAATGAGACCAACAATACTAACAATTATGACGGTGCACAACAGCATGTGCCGGTGGAAGAATACTAACTCAGTCCCGGACCGAGGAGGGGAAGGGAGCAGGAGCACTGCTCTTCCTCGCAGACATGACGTTGGAGCTGAGCCTTGAAGGGAAGCAGACATCAGGGAGGCAGAGGGTGTGCAGGAGTAGATGGCGGGGGGCACAGGGAAGAGCGTCCCCAAAGAAGGAGTGTCATGAGCAGAGACGTACAGGCGAGGGCAGGCAGGGCCATGAAAACCACACTTACACCAGAGTTATAATCACAGTGATATCCATCTCTATCTCTGTCTATCTATTTATTTATATAATCTTATGGTCATTCAGGTATTCCCAGGTGTGTAGCTTTCTAGAAACAAATAACTGTGGCTCTAAAGTATCAGAATGTTCTATTCTTACTGGAAAATGAGAGACATTTTTTGCCCAATAAAACCATGCTTAAAATTTTAGACCCTCATTTTAAGAGGAACAAAGGGTCAGTGTACCTAGTGTAACACATTTAATCTATTTTAACACGTTACATTAATTTAGACTGAAGTGTTAAGTATATTCTCTGTTCTTGCTTAAGTTTTACCAGAGGAAAATCTTGTAACACACACACACATATATAATATATAAAAATATATATTTACTGTGTATAGACTTGTTGGGTGTTAAAATTCTGAAAACCTAAAAGGTACAACATCCTCTGGGACAAATTGAGTTTGCTGTGTAGAAATTCTCAGTAGAAAGTTTTGTAGAGAAGCTACGTTTGCTTGCTTGCCCCCTTGTGGTATAAAACCAAAATGGCAAAGAAATAAGGTTGATTAAGGAAAATCAATCAATCAAAATCACTTTAAGAAACTGGATCCTTTTTTTTTTTCCTTTTTTGTCTTTTTTACTGACCGGTAACGGGATCGCAACCCTCGGTGTCGCGCCCGTACCGGGGACCGGCAAAGGGATCGCAACCCTCGGTGTCGCGCCCGTACCGGGGACCGGCAAAGGGATCACAACCCTCAGTGTCGCGCCCGCACCACGCTCAGCCAGTGAGCGGGGACCGGTCTCCACATGGGATCCGAACCCTCTCTTCATAGAGTTCTGTTTCAGCCTAGCGTCAAGGGGGTGTTGTTTTGCATGTGTATTTTTTGTTTTTAATTTTTCTACAAGATGGAACTTAGCAGGCAGTTCCTTTGTGCACTCTGTTAAGGCATGATTAGTCTATGCATGTTGGGAACTGATCACTAGAAGAATGTCCCTGTGCTCACTTAAGAAGAGGGTAGAGAAGGTGGCCAGAAAGCTAAGTTCAGGTCCCAGAAGACCTTTTAAAACAAAAACTGGATAGATGCCAACATTTAAATGAAAATCAATATACTTTACAAAAATTGATCTTCCGTGGATTGGCACTGTACAGGCAAAAACTGGCTAAAACTGGGTTGCAGCTGCATTTTTTAGGTAGATGTGGGCTGTTTGTCACAATCTACACCGTTCCCTGTCATCTTCTACCCAGCCTCTTTTACTCTTTTTTTTTTGACTGGTAAGGGGATTGCAGCCCTCGGCATGGTGTGGTCTGCACCACGCTCAGCCAGTGAGCGCACCGGCCATCCCTATATAGGATCCGAACCCGTGGCGGGAGCGCCACTGCGCTCCCAGCGCCGCACTCTCCCAAGTGAGCCATGGGGCCGGCCCCTTTTTTCTTTTTTGAAGGAGTTTATTTTGTAGAAGATTATATTAATTTTCCTCTAGCTTTTTATCTTGAAAAATCTCACACCTACAGAATCATACTATTTTTTAAAAAACACAAACTTATGCTTCCCAAGGAGCTTTTTGTTTTTTTTTTTTCTCAGAACAAATTAAGGTAAAGATACCTCATATCTCAGGGTTCCAAAGTCAATATTTTAGCAAAATAGTGGGAAAAAGATAGAAGCCTGCAATCAATGTATCCTTGCAGAATGAGCTTTTCCTATTCTGCTGCTGAGAAGAAATTAAGAGTGAGAAAAGGAAAAAGATATACAGAGGAAATGGCCAGTAGCCTAGAAAGAGGATCAGCGTGCTGCACCCACCCTGGTTTTTTTAAGGGGCCACACAGCAGGAGAAAGCCTAGCACCGGAATTCTTACATTCTGAAATCAAATTCTGGCTGGACTACTGCCCTGCATGGGTGGCACCTCCAGGTGGTGATGTCTTATTCTCCTACCTACAGGCATTACAGTGTTTTGTTCACATCTTATAAGGGGTCATTTGTTTAGTTATTGATTCAACATTTGTTGAACACCTTCCATGTTCCAGTCACTGAGTCAGACACTGGAGATCCACAGAAGACCAAGCCAGAGTCTCTGACCTCAGAAATGCTGAGTCTCTTCGGGGGGCAAAGAGGTAAACAATTACACAGAAGGCCATAAGTCCTCTAGAGTCTCTCCTTTTCTAAGTGCTACGGAAACACAGAGGGGGATGGGAAGATTAGTTGTGCCTGGTGGGTCCACTGTGCTTGGGTGGTGACATTTGAGTTAGGTCTTAGAGAGTGTGTAGGAGGTTGCTTGGCAAAGAAAGGCATTCCAGGGAGAAGGACCATTGAAGCAAAGGCATGAAAGCTTTTTTACCCCCTAAGCTTTCATGCTTTTGCTTCAATGGCCCTTCTCCCTGGAATGCCTTTCTTTGCCTAGCAACTTGAATCTAGTGACAGTCAATTAATTGATTATTAATTGCTTGATTAATTAAGTATTACAATGGCTCCCATTTACTGCATGTGTAATATGCACAAGGTAGCACATTACATTTCTAGTTTACTGCCATGTTTTGCAAACCAATGTAGAAATATGGCCCTTACAACAGTGAAGGGGAAATTGAGATTGGACTTGGTGGACCAAAGAATTCTGTCAGAGGCTTTGCATATTTGGGCAATAATTTTGGAGGGAATTCTGTTTAGGGGTCCCAGCAGCAAATCTTACCTACTACCGTGAGCTCCAGACTAAAGGAGTTCTGCCCGGTTTTGTTGGTAGCAACACATGTATAGGTCCCCGCATCGCGCTGAGTGAGTGGGTCAATGAGCAGAGAGTGGACTCCGGTCTCCCTGACCAGCATCTTGTGGGAGGCGTCTGGTAGCACAGGCTGGCCATTGAGCAGCCACGTCAGCTCTGGGGGTGGTAAGCCACTCACCTAATAAACAACAGGACAGCTGAGGCAAATGACAGACTGATGACAGGTAGATTTACTTGGTGGCTGAATGTTTCATCCTTGTTTGGCACCAAATATATGGTGAGAAAAAACATGGGATGGTGAGAAACTTCTTGTAGGGATATTGGGAGAAGAGGGGTCTTAGGAATGGCTGCATAAATTTAAACCGTATCATACTTTGACCCCAATTCAGGTCACGATTAATCTATTTGATTATATCCTAGGTTAGGATAAATTGTAGGGATATTGGGAGAAGAGGGGTCTTAGGAATGGCTGCATAAATTTAAACCGTATCGTACTTTGACCCCAATTCAGGTCACGATTAATCTATTTGATTATATCCTAGGTTAGGATAAATAACAGTTAAAAACCTAAATATGAGGCGTCTTCAAAAAGTTCATGGTAGGATTTGTGTTATCTTTTAATTCAATTTTTCTGCAAACTTTTTGCAGTACCCTTGTAGATAGATAAAACATGCCTGCACCATCAATTTCAGAGATGATATATTGCTTATATACCTAATAAGCAAGAGATAGCCAAGAGAAAGGCCACATATTAAACCAGTGTTCTCAAATCTTGTTGCATATTATCATCTCATCGGCAGTGTTTAAAAATCCTGATGCCCGCTTACCATATTAACTCAGAATCTTTATGAATAGGACCCAGGCACCGGTATCTTTTAGGTTTTAGGGAAGGGAAGTAACAATCAATCCGAAGATGATTTGGGCATCCACTTGAAAGGCAAGAGCCACCTAGAGAAGTGGACTCTTTATGAATGCTTAACCTCAAGTCTTCACTAATTTGCACCTCAATCCCGTATAACATCTGCAGCTTTGTCTGGGGAAGAAAGGGTGACTGAAGTTTCTCTTCATACTGAGGGGCATCCACGTTGCTCAATTGAAGTGTAGTTTCTGGTCAAAAAGTTAGAATGTGGAATAGGTAAATGTGGTGGAGGTTGGTTAGTATGAGAATAAACGGCCTTGGAGACATCTTCTCGTGACTATCATTGTTTCAAAGGCTACACCTCACAACAATTCACTTCAAGGATGGGAAAATCACACCTTTGGCTTAATGGTAATCAAGGCTTTCCAGGCACCATATGGAAAATGTCTGAATTATACCATCTCTTTGGTTGTCTTCTAAAAATGCAGAGTTAACTTGATACCAACGTAATTTTTATTAAGATGTAAAATTTAAAACTTTTATGAAAGAATTTTGTCCGGTACTAAATGCACCAGAAGAGCCGTATGGGAAAAAATGATTTTTCTCCCTTCCCCAGTCCCTCTTCCCCGGAAAAAAAAAATACCGTAAAACAAACAGAAACAAAAATAAATGCACACAAACAAATACAAAATATGAACAGATCTGGAACCAAGAATGGCTGCTAGAGTCTACCTTACAGTCCAGCCGACAGAGGCGTCCCTCGTGTGCTACCATATCCCCAGGAGCCTGCAGGAAATGTGGTCGGAAAAAGCGTTCCTGTAGGGGCTCTTTGTCTCTTTCTTGCACTCGGGACCTTCCCCTATAACAAGAAGCATGTTCAGGCATTAACCATAGAAACCAGTTGACACACTTACAACAGTAGGCATTTAGGCATGGCTATAGGGCCTGGTGAACAAACTCTTTTTTTTTGGAGGGGTAATAGGGTTGCTGGACCATAAATAAATACTAATAAATAATAAGTAATGCTGTGGCACTGATGTAAAAAGCAAGGCGGTAAACATCCCATACACTGTAGGATTATTTTGTGAAATCTGTCATCAAATAAACAGGCTTTGGCTTCTTTCTCTCTGAAGTAATTCTGGATTTAGTGGCTCAACTCTCCTTACTGTGAGTTTGACCAGTTGTTTGAGTCATCAAAATAAAAAAAATAAATCTGTATTCAATATGAAGCCCAAATGAGAGCCAAAAAAGAAGTCCTGTTTATTACCCAGAACAAGGCAGCTGCAATCCCTGTGTCTTTGAGTAACAAAATTTAACCTGGCTATAAATTATGGCAGACCATTAAAGATGACCATGAGTTTAAATTGGGTAAAACTGACCAACAGTAGCAGCTGTTCTTGAAGAAAAAAAGGAGGAGGAGGCAGTATAGTTGCAATGGTGGTGAAATGCTGTATCTGAAACATGGGTCACTATTTTTGTCCCTTGGTAAGCCACATCTAATTCATCCATGTCAGCAGCTATGAAATGTTTTGCTAAGACTTTGTGGCACCAGAAGACTCAACAGGAAAGCCAGGCTCTTTCTTCTTAGTGGTTAGTAAAATTAGAGAGGAAGAAAACCAATTGTTATTTTGGAGACAACAGCAACAAAAACATTTGATCTACATACATATAACCATTAAGCGTTAAAGAAAATATGGTATTTTAATTCAAAGAGTTTGATTTATATATTACGTGCACAGGTGCTACTGATGGCTACAAATTTTGAACCATTAAAAGTGCACCAGAGGGGCCGGCCCGGTGGCGCACTGCTATGGTGCGCCGCTTGGGAGTGCGGCAGCGCTCCCGCCGAGGGTTCGGATCCCGCATACAGACCGGTTCCCGCTCACTGGCTGAGCGAGGTGCGGGCGCGGCGCCAAGGGTTGCGATCCCGTTGCTGGTCCCGGTCCGGTATGGACGCAACACTGAGGGTTGCGATCTGTTGCCGGACACGAAAAAAGACAAAAAAAAAAAAAAAAAAAATAAGTGCACCAGAGACCAGAGCTTCTTGAACTTTAGTGTGCTTGTAAATCACCTAGGGGTTTTGTTAAAATGCAGATTCTGATTCAGTAGATTTGGGCTGGGGCCTGGGTTCTGCATTTCCAGCAAGCTCCCAGGTGATGCTGATGCTGGAGGTGAAGGACCTACCTTTAAGTAACAATTTGAAGACCCGATATTTTTGTGCTCATTGTGGTGGGTAGGTGCTTGCGGGGAACTTAGAGAAGGGGAATTTTTATTATCTTTACCTGTGAGACTGACCAGCAGAGGTTAGTCGACTGCGAATGGGCAAACTCTGTACCATCAAGTGGCCAGAACAGCTGATTCTTCCCTGAGGAAGAGAAAAATAAAAAAGATTTTATTTTATAAAAATAAACCCATATTTTTTCAGTTCACATAACTTTTTCTGGACCAGAACATTATGAAACTTTTGGCTAACTATTACGGGTTTTTCTTTGTGGGGAGAGAAAGGAAAGCAATATAATATGACTTCTTAAATCACTGTTAATATTCCAAGGAGAGAGATTTTTAAGAGTATTGTGATGACTTTCATTTTTAAGCTGAGAAAGGAACAGAGCGCAAATGTAAAAAAAATTTGAATTTTTGTGCACTTAACATTATTTGCAGCCACAATGCAGAGCATATGGCCAAATATTGTTATACTTTCCTTAAGAGACTCTTTAAAATGAATATTTCAATAGGAAGAGTGAATGAGACTAGAAATTATAGTTCTGTACTTCCTATTTGAATAGTAATTGAAGCTATTTATTCTGCCATATCTTTTAGGGGAATTTTAAGACTTGGCCACATTCAGAAAAAGAAAGTGGAAGATTATGGCTTTCCAACTTTTACAAACAACAACGACAACAACGAAAAGGACTTTATAAGTCTGAGGGACATTCACAAGCCTTTACATAGTAATTCATCTATTCTCTAAAGAACAAAAATGACAAATCACTCTTTGATAGAATGATTTATTGACTCTTCAAGAGAGTCAGAGTTGATAAACACAAGATTTAGCCCAACAGGTCTGAGATGTATATGCAGTGAAGAGACAGTACTAATATCCTTTGACAAAGGCTGAAGGGTTGAGTGACCCATCAGTGGCTAACTAGTCTTTTAAGCTGTGACACTGTGCTCTAGTTACACACAATCACAAAGCTTCTTATTCATTTTCCTCAGCAATCCTTAGTAACTTGCACGTCTCAAGGTCTCATTCACAATGACATCAACTGCTCCTTCCTGAGTGCGGCACAGGGCAGAACCCTGCGTCTCCACCTGGGGGTTGGCTGCCATGATGGTGTAGTTGCCGTCGTCATCACTGGTGGTGGATTCAATGTGCAGAGAACATGTCCCATCTCCTTCTCGCCTCATTTTGCAGTGCTCATTTCTTTTAGAAATCTGCTTCCCATCTTTGAACCAGTAAACCTGAAGTAAAAGATAACCAAGGAGAAATATACACTCTTTTGCACATCTTAAGAGGATACTGAATTATGGAATAAGGTGAGAAAATATCCAATTGTCATCTCTACAACAAGTGACCCACCCCTTATAAAGCACTTGGGAAAAAGTAATAAAATATACTCAAAATGACAGTATAATATGCCCCTCCACCTGTACCTATACCATATTTAAGTCAAAAATTCAATATAATTTAGGACTAACATAAAGCTTTTGACTACTTTCATTGTACTTTGTAATTATTTTAAAAGCCACCATAAGGACCAGACACGTCTTCAGAGGCAAAATAATGAAAACCAGGAGCCTGGATTTTTCCACATTACTCTATTTATGAGTTCAAGTCTCTTGCTGTTGCAGATCTCAGAACCTAGAACAGCTCACCCTGCCTGAAAGGATAGCATGGTTTATAACACCAAGTGGAATTAGGCTAGGATTAATTCACTAAATTTCTCATCTAGCAAAAATTTAAATATATGTATTACGTGTTGAGTTCTGCATGTGTCTCTCAAAGACGGGGGGATAAAGTACTGGTTGCAGCTGCCCTTCTCTACTTTTCTTGGTTACTTAACCATACATGAGAACCTTATGCTAATGTTTTTGAAAGCAGAGTGAAGAGGTCCCCTGCCACAGCCACACTGGGTATAAATCTCTCTCTCAACTGACTGCCAAAAAATCTGGTGACTCACAGATTTTTCAGCAGCCAGTAATAACAATATGACATTTTTGGCATTAACCAACCTAATAGTAATGATACAAATATAGTTCACTTTATACAACAGGCATCCTGTGGCTATTCAATAGATACTAAATAGAAAGAAAAATATCAATTTGGTGAGTTTGATGGCTAAGAGAATCAATGGCCCAAAATATAGTATAATGACTAAGAAATTTATTTTAAATTTTAATAAAAATTCTAACTAACCCATAAGTCTGATTTCTTTTTACCTATTTAATGATCCTATTTCTTTTTTCTTTTGGCAGCTGGCCAGTATGGATATCCAAACTCTTGATCTTGGTGTTATCAACACCATGCTCTAACCAACTGAGCTAACTGGCCAGCCTTAATGGTCCTATTTCTAATGGTCTCTTTATAGTCAAATTATCTGAGCTTTGCTAATTGTCTGGTATTGGTTTTCATTCTCTCTGTAGACACTTCACTAGATCTGATAAGACTTTCCTGAAGGCACTGTCTATAGTTTTGTGCTGTTGGTTGGCCAACTGGCTGTCATCTTCCCCTACCTTTGGAACAGGTATCCCAACAATTTTGCAGGTGAATGTGACTGCAGAGCCTTCTGTGACCCGGAAGTGCTTGAGTCTTTTGTCAAAGATGGGAGCAATACACTTGCCCGTGGGGATCTCATCATGTTGGATTTCGTCGTCTGATTCATCAACAGGAGTACGTTCCAAGCGAAACTCTATTTCATTCATCAGCCTCTGCTCAAAGCTTGAAATTTTGTACTCCTGTCAAAATGACAAAGACATTTCCATTTCAATTTCTATGGCGAGGAAGAACATGTTCACCAGTATAACTGAAGCTGCAACTTTTAAGATACAGATGTTAGATTTATACCATGGAACCCCAATAAACCAGGCACATTCCTTTTCCAGTTTCTTGCCATGGAGCACTAAAGGAAATTTCAATGTCTCTGCTATAATCCCAAACCGAGTCCTCACCTTGAGCATGGAACCCCAGTAGAAATCTGTAGGGAATGGAATAAAGATGGAATATAATGTCTGTGTTTTGGTATGTAGAACTGCCTATGGAGTTATTTCAGCAAAGCTGGTCTGAACTTCATTCTGATACATGCCTGTATCACCAATTCCTGTCTTTACTGGACATTTCCATCTGCATGCTTGAGGAAAATCCATCTCCCTGAACAAATCTCCCTTAACCCTACGTCTACCTCTACTGCATCTTTCTGCTCCCTTCCCCACAAAACTATCTGAAATAATTCTTTATTGTTACAGGATCATTTTCTTGTTGCCTCTTCTCTCGCTAACCTAATCCCATTAGATTTGGGCTCTCACTGTTCCTCCAAGACTGCTACTGTCTGCGTTTCCAAATTTGCCAAATCCAGTGGTCGCTTATCTGTTTTTACCTTACCTGACCTCTCAGCAGCATTAGACACAGGTGACTGCCTTTTCCTTTTTGAACCATTTTTTTTCTGTTGGTTTCCATGATATGCCAGACTGGTTTTCCTTCTTCTCTAGCTGCACCTAATCAGTCTCCTTTGTTGGCTCCTATACCTCTGCTCTAAGTGAGCTCATCCAGTCCCACAGCTTCAGATACTTTCTGCTCCCAAATCCACAGCTCCAAGCCTGGTCTCTCCCCAGAACTCCAGAGTCATATACCCAACCATCCATTCTACATTATGGTGCCTAATGGGCATCTGAAACTTAGTGTGGCCCAAATAACACACACTTGATTGCAGTCCCTCAGAAATGCTCCTAACCTGCTCTTCCTCATCTCAGGAAATGGCACCCCTATTCATCCATGGTTAAACAGCATTTCTCACACTCTCTATGGTGACAACCAGGTTTTTAAAATTTTCCAACCCATACTTTGGTAAAACAAACAAAAAGTGAGTTACTAGCAAAAGGATATTTTAAAAGGTGTGGAAAATTATTACATTCAATAGATGTAAAATTTCCTTGTCGACTTGCTATAAAATTTCTTAATGGTTACTCTCAGTTTCTGTACTTACCTCAAGGTGTGGAGGTGACAGCTTGCAGTCTGGCACAATTCCTCAGACCACACTTTGAATGTGCTGAGTTAAAGCCTAAATCTAGGACATATCCTAGATTCCTCTCCCTCCCTCTCCCTGCCATATCTTATCTATCAAGCTTAATGTCACATTCCCAAAGCAGCCTACCCAGGACACTTCCTCTAAAATAACTCATTCTAATTCTCTACACAGCACTCGTTACTATCCAGTATTTTTCTTGTCTATTGATTGAATAATTGAATCTTTAGAATGTTAGCTCCACAAGAGCAGAATCTTGTTTGTTTTGCTTCCCAAAGTATCAATAACACCTAGAATAGTGCCTGCCCCGTGGCAGGTGCTCAATAAGTTTCTGAGGAATGGGTGAATAGGTGAATGACATAGAGGCAATCGCTTGTTGCAACATGATCGCATCTTTGAGGAATTTGGAGCCATGTGCTTGGGGTAAGGGTGAGATCTTTGGTTAAACCTGTGACTCTAGTTAACATAATTTTGTAATTGAGGTGGACTTACTTTGCTTACCCAGTCTAAGAAGTGGCAGAGAGGGGCAGGTTTAAAATTAGTTGCAAGAAATTGAAACCAAGAAGGACTTAGTTTCTCTGTTTCCTAAATTCCAGTTCTACCCAAATTCAGACGATTATATGCATAACACAATAACAAGAGTATGTAATGTGATTCAATGGCTTGGGAACACTTGAGTTCTGAACTCAATTTTTCCGCCAGTGACTAGGAGCTGGTGCATATCAGCCATATGCTTCCAAATTCCATTTTGGCTGGTCAGTATGGGGATTCAAACGCTTGATCTTGGTGTTAGAACACCGAGCTCTAACAAACTGAGCTAACTGGACAGCCCAATTTATTTTTAATTAGACATTCAAACCAGTTAAAGTAAAAGATTGTTCACCTCCACTAATGTCACTGGATTCTCTGAAACCTATTTTAGTTTAAAAATATTAAGATTATCTTCTACATTATAGGGATTTTTTTTCAAAAAAGTTAATAATTAAAGCTTCCAATTATCTCCCTGTTAGGCTGAACTATATGAAATTGCCACTTTTGTAAGTCAACAATGGTAGAATATCAGTTTTATATCATTCAACCTAATACTTTGCGGTGATGATATTTTCCACAAATACATTAAATGGTCCTACAAATTTGTAATATTTCCTAGTCTTGCTAGTTTAAAATCACACCAGGGATATATTTTTCTTTTTTGTTGGATTGCATTCATGTTTCTAAATTGGTATTATTTTCTTTTTGTAACAAATTTGGGTTTGTTTATTTTCCAAGATGTTTAGGAGTAAAACCAATGAATCATTTTATTCTTTTACCATGTGAGGTAGGTGCTAAATAATAGCTTTGTTATTTTAAAATTACATTCAAAAAAATAATTCACATAGTTCTCACTCCATGTACAGATTGTATAGTTCAGGAAACTCCATACTTTCTGGGTGGGTGGCTGTGCTCCACCTCTCTGAAGTTTTATGACCGTCAGTGGAGAGGCTGTGAGCTGTGTGCCTGTGCTCTTGGGGAAGAGAGCGCCTGCAGGTGCCGACAGAGCCTGTGTCTGGGAGAGGGCACTGGTGGTGAAGGCGTGTGGATCGCACCTGCCTGTGTCTGGGAGAGGGCACTGGTGGTGAAGGCGTGTGGATCGCACCCACCTTGGAGGCTCATCAGGGAATTAGTGGGGGACTCTTGTAGTTAAATGAGAAAGAAAATTCTCATTTCCTAAAATCTAGTTCAGTGCTTAACTAAAGAGTCCATGCTTTTCATAGTTTTTTTTTGTTAACATTTCAGAAACAAAGATTAAAGCAAATGAAGTCCCAACCTTTTACCAGTTCTCAATGAATGGTCCTTGCTCCTATGGGAGTAAGTGAGGAAAAGGGGTTACAGGGTTGGCCTATGAGACTCTTTTTACTCTCAAATGGTCTGTTTGCAGTTGTTCCTGAAAAACTCTACAAAAGCTTTGCTTACATCAGATCAGGATATTAAATATTTGAATCCAAACCACCAGGAAAACAGAGGAAGTCGAAGGGTAAAGAAAATCAGGAAGACCAGCCCCTGAGGCCTATAGAATAAAATAAACAGGGGAACCAGGGAGCCAGCCCAAAATGGAGTCGTACTTCTGTGGGTTTTCAATAGGCAAGAGGTCTTAGCCTTCCATGGCTTCTCATCTTGTTTCATTTAAGTACTCAGATTCCCAATCTGTTGCATACTATCTCTAGCCCCTATTGTAATGGAGTCCTTGCTCCAAGCTGAAGAACCTTCTCTGTAGCTTCTACTGCCTGACTGGTGAGGACTGGTAAGTTTCCAGCTAATCATACTGTCAGAGTTATAATAGGGGGAGATGAATTCCTGACATTCTATATGGAAATTCTGAACTAATTTTTTCCAAGGAAATAATATTGTGCCTGGTGGTAAGTTATGATTATACCTATACTTCAGGAATACCATGAGCAATATACAAATATCCTTTAAATGCCTGCCTTAGAATATAAATCCCACATTGCCTCTATGTATTCCAAACAACTAATTTTAGAAACTTGATTTTAAGTTGGGGCCTGATTTTACAGATTTTATAAATGCTTGAATTGATTTGGCCAAAAGAACTACACAAGCAATATGAAAATATGCATGTTTTGTTTTATTATAAACATGTATATGTCTTGGTTAGATATTTATTATCTTAACCAGTGCTACAAATTGGGAGGTGATGAAAACAGAACACCTAATGAGTTACTTAAAATATACTATTCATAAATATTGTAGCGAAGGTACAATTGTAACTAGATCTTGTGTGGAAGTTTCTACTGAGGCACCAAGATAGGCTAGATGTCAGAAAACAAGTGTTTTGAGACACACTATCCTCTAGAAGTTTCAAAGCAGGTGTTTAAGGACAGGTTAGGTGATTTAAACCTTTCATCTCCATCACAGATACAGAAGAGTCAGGAGGGTGAAAATCCAGTAAGAAGGCTTTGGAGAGAGCTATTATTGTCTATGAGTCTCCTACCTTCACCCACAGCCCCGGGGTATCTGTGTTTCACCTCAAGTCTAGCAAGGGAGATTAAACTAGGAGAGCTTGCTGTGCCTCCTACAGCTAGGAGGGCACAGTGGGTCGATGTCTGACTCTTGCCTTATAAATCTAAAGAGTGAGGAACGATCTTGCTTTTTGTTCATGGGCAAGCTGGAGGCTGAGTTGAGTGGCCTGTATGCCTAGATGTGTCAGGGCAGAGGGTGTGAGCTGGTTCCTGACATGCAAACATGGGCTGTATATGAGACAAAGCCAGTGTAGGGTCAGCGGAGTCTCTCCAGGGTTGGGAAAGGAAGGAATCAGCAACAGGAGTTAGCGAAGTCCGGGAAGAGGGAGCAAAACAGAGAGAAGCTGCCCATCCCACCCTTCCTGGCTTTAGGTTTGCCACTTACAGCAGACCTCAGGGTGTGAGGTGGGGATGGGGGTAATTGTGTGTGGAGTCCTATTTTTGAATAAGGATTAGACTGTTGGTTACAACAAGGACAGGAAGTTATGTATCACTGGATCAAGATTGCATTTTGCAACTTTAACTTTGCAACTTCGAATTATTGGATCAAGATTGTATTTTGTTACTTTACCCATAGAACTTTATAGGAATTAAAGGGGCCCGAAAAGTTTGAAATTGCCTTGCATTTGAGATTTCCAGGAGGAGGAAAAGAATTAGCCCCTTTGGATAAATGTAAAGGGATAAGGGAAGATAAAAATAA